TAGAGCGAATGGTGGCACTTTCGTTACATATGGCTGGGCATATGTCGTTATCTATGGCTGGTCATATGCCTTTCCCGTTTCACAAACACCTGCAGTCAACCAAAAGTTGGACGCAGTAATTCCTGCGACATTTTGTTTCATGGTAAAGGAACACATATAGTATACACCTTTCAATACACATATTAACAGCAGAGTAAGAGTAGCATAAAGTGTTACCTCAAGCGAGATGATTACAATCATCTACTAGCGGAATTTTTGTACCTTGCTAAACTTAATGTGGTTTATTCCTTGTAGCGAGTCGGGTCGTTCCTTTTTCGACTGTCATCAACCGGTCACAAGGAGACGAATTATAGTAAAGTAAAGCAGTTGGAGAGTGCCCTTTCACACGCAGATTGACACAAAACAGATTATTCCTGTTTGGCGACAGTACTTTGGTTAAGGAAAATGAGACACGAGTGAAATTAATGTCAATTTCACCAGTGACACATTTTCAGTAATCACTTGTACCTCGTGGGTAAATCTACAAATATTCTTCCATTTCAATGTCAAATATGTTCTCGTCACGATATGGCTGCAATATTGCCGATGTGACGTTAACTAATAACTCACTCACTCGCTCACTATACATATTCAGTGTTCAAACAAACAGATACATTGGTTTGGATATACGTGTTATATAATATTTGACACTGATAACTCTTCATGGTGTTATTCATGAAAGAATCAGCAAAATCTACTGTTGTAATAGCATGACGGAAACTGTAAAAGTCAGTATAGAATATTATTTACTCAATCTCCAAATCCAAACATTTCCAAAGACATTTCAACAATACTTACATATGACATCACGACATACCTTCATTGAAGTGTGTGCTTGCTTGTACACGCGATGTGGTGGACGTCCGTTGGTTGGGGATTCATAAAAGTGTAATGTATGTGATTGTTGCATAATCTGCACCGGTGGTTCGGTGGCATGTGCCACTGTCATTGGATCCAGAACAATATCTTCTAGAATACCTGATAACAGCTCTATATTTACAGCAGAAGCAAACGCCATCTTAACAGCTCTTAAATATATTCAAAGACATCCCAAACAAAAACAATATATCATATTTTCTGACTCTCTTTCTTGCCTTCAGGCTATTAAAAATATCCTTGCAATCATCCACTTTTAATTGAAATAATCGAATTATATAATGATCTTGCTACTGGTCAATGCGACATCGTCTTCTGTTGGTTACCAAGCCACGTTGGCATTTCTGGGAACACAATGGCCGATCTTGCTGCCAAGGCAGCACTCAACAAATCTGTGACACCACTTCTTATTCCTTACTCTGATTACAAAGCTTGCATTAGAACTTACATCCGTGATCTGATGCAGAAGAAGTGGGACACCCAAGCAGGTATTAATAAATTACATGCAGTAAAACCAACTATCGGTTACACCTACTTGGGTTGTCAGTCCAGATTTGAAGAGGTCATCATACGACGATGTCGTATTGGCCACACAAGATACACTCATGAATACCTATTGAAAGGTGATGTCCTCCTTGACTGTGTTGAATATTCCATCACAAGGGATAAGTATTTTAATGTCAAAACTTTGAAGGATCTTTTTTATAATGTTAATTCTCATTTAATAGTTGAATTTTCAAAAGAATTAGATTTGATCAGTGATTTGTAAATAGATATATATTTTATCATTGGTAGTTTGAATTAGTAACTGAGATTGTTAGTGGCTGTACCCTCAAAGGGGGTTGAAGTAGCGTAAAATTATTGTCCTCCTGAGAGGGTACGTAAGTCCCAGAACATTTCCAGTCAATTTAGGTGTACCAGGTTTTTAATCGTAGTATTTTTGTGTTTTTAATGTATGGCTAAATCTGAGCATCAACGCCAATGGCTGAAGGGATGGTGTAAATCCAGCTAGGGTCCATGCAGGTAGCAAAAGTAATGTAAGTCCCCATGGGCCTTAGTATGGTGATCTACCTTCAGTTGTTGGCGATCTATAGCCCGTTTTTATATTGTATTGTTTTCGTAATTAAAATAGTTTTACATGTTCATGCTAGTTTTAGACTCCATCTGTGATACTCTAGTTATTTTACTGTCCTTCGTTGACAGGGTTTTATATATTATATGTACGTATTATAAATTTAGAACTAGTTTTAATCACGATATGGCTGAAATATTGCCGATGTGACTCACTCACTCACTCATAATCTGCACATTGCCCAACTGTGAGCAAATGTATAAAACGAAAGACAAAAGGGATATCTTAAGATAGGAAGAAATGTTTTACATTGTTAACACTTGCCGAATTTTGATAAAATATGTTCCAGGGGAACACTGCTTCTATTCAAGTCTTGCGTGAAAAACGGTTAACGAAATTATACGAGGGGAGGTCAAAAAGTTTTCCGACCTCACAACCTAAAGTTGTGTAGCAGCTGTGCTGCTAGTAGTATACATACACTGTTCATTCATGAGATACCTGTGGAAGTTTCAACACCTCGAAACAAACAGTATTAATATTGTGATAAGTGGAAGAGAGAGAGAAGCTGTTTACAGCCATACAAAGATGACGTTTTGGAAAGAAATAGTATATTTGTATTGTTTTGCTGCAGCTACATGAGTCCAGTATTCTTAGAATCATGTAGCCGCTTTCTTTTTTTTAAGTGTGTAATGATGGAGGAATTTCGCTCTGGCCGGTGATTGGAAAGGTATTTACAAACAATATCAAACCAGCGACTTCAACAGTGGAAAGGGTATTTCACAGTTGATAACTTGTTCTCTCTCTACGGCTTGATCACGAAATACTTGTCTAAATTAACTGGCGGGAGAAACTGGGTCCTCTTCAATGACACTTCTCCAAGGCTTTCGATAGCATCAATCATACTTTAATATGGCATCGGCTTATCAAAATTATGGAGTGAGAGAATTTGGTTTTACGCCGCTTTTAGCAATATTCCAGCAACATCACGGCGGGGGACATCAGAATGGAATTCACATATTGTGCCCATAAGGGGAATTGAACCCTGTCTTCGGCGTGACGAGCGAATGGTTTAACCGCTAGGCTACCTCACCGCCCCCGCATGAGGCCACTAGACAATAGAACTCATAAGCTTTGAAAAGTTTATATTTTTTTCACTTTGATAGAATAAAAATGGTCCAAACGGGTGTCGTACACAATGTTTGTTAGTTCTTCAGCATGACGATCAAACGCCTTAACCACTAGGCCTCCCTACCGCCCCTCAAAAGTATGGAATACATGGGAACATCTTGAATATCTTAAGAAACATGCACTCCAAGCTTCAGTCTTGTATCCGTACACATACAGGACTATCAGAGTTTTTCCAGTGCTGTGTTGGGTGTATGGTGAATCCACTGTTGTTCATTTTATAGATCAACGAACGTCACTGAAAGGTCAACGTCCAACTGCAAAGGAATATTTATATCAGAAGAATTCCCTAATGTATGTTCACTTCTCTACGCCGATGATGTCGCTAAAACTGCTCAGTCGGAAAACGTATTCACATTAAATGAAACACCGAGAACAAGTAGGGTTGGTCTAAGTTAACGCTCATCATGTACCGCACGTGCATTTGTTTCACTGGCCCAACTACTGCGCTTACCCCCTTGTAATACAAACCAATAATAGCGATTTGAATCTATGATCGTTTGTTAAACAACTTTTATCCTAAGTTGAATGAAATTCTGAGATTTAAATGTTCAATTGGCAAGGTGAAATTATGAGGATTCGCAGTCTAAATTTCACTATATTTGATTGACCTCGTTGTCTAAAGTGAAATTCATTGGTAGTTTCAAATTGACTATAGTATCACACTACGAATCAAACTACTGGTCACACAAACGGTGCTCCAAATATAATGTTCAATATTAAGGTATGAAAACTCACACAAATTAACGCCGTATCTACTTAGTCGGAATTCTAAAATATTATATACATATTAGAACACTTTATCATTTTCTAACAGTTACATTTGATTGAACACGTTTCAATAAAACTAGCACATCGTTTGTCCAAATGACCTTATTGATGTATTTGTTCACACAACCAACACAAATGCCTTTAGCTACTTCAATTATATCTCCTCACAATTCTATACTTTCTATTATTTTAGCTGGCTATCTCAAACGTATGACTGAAGTAGCTTAAATATTGCCATATTCCCCTTCTGCTTTGCTATCATTGCTGGCGTATGGCCAAATTTATTCGTTGTTTGAATGCCTACAGCGTTTTGTAGTAAGATATGCTTCACCATTCATGTGTGTGCCTTGGTGCAGGCGATATGGAGGACGTTGTTACCTTTATAATTCACAAGTGAAACATCCGCTCCTTCACCTACAAGGAAGTCATACACTTCTCTACGTCCCCGATATGTTGCCAACATCACTGGTGTACGTCTTCTCTTATCTCTGCTATTGATTTCAACAATATTTTGCGAAAGGATATACCTCACCACGTCCTCCCGCAACAACACTCTAAAGAATATTACGACTGTCATCAGTTACGAGGGAAACAATAGCTCCTTCACTGACAAGAAGGTCAAACACCTCTCTATGTCCAAAGTATGCTGAAAGCATCAATGGTGTCCTCCCTTTCTTATCTCTGCTGTTGATCTCAACGGTATTTTGCAACAGGACACACATAACAATCCCCACATGTCCACCCACAGTGGCACTGTGAAGGATGTTGCGACCATCGTGAGCTACTAAGGAAATATCAGCTCCTTCATTTACAAGGAAGTCATACACTTTTCTATGTCCCAAGTATGCTGCAACCATCAATGGTGTCTTCCCCTTCTTATCTCTGCTGTTAATGTCAGCAATATTTTGCACAAGGTTATACTTCACCATATCCACATGTCCACCCCCAGAAGCACTGAAAAGACTAGTTTGACCATCATCACTTACGAATGTAACATCAGCTCCTTCACTGGCAAGAAGGTCAAACACGCCCTTGTGTCCCCAGTATGCTGACACCATCAAATGTCAGCTCCCGCTATTGCAAGCAGGTCGTACACGCCTTTATGTCCATAATATGCAGCTCGCTTCACCGGTGTCCTTCCCCATTTGTCTCTGCTGTTGATCTCAACAATATTTCGTGAAAGGACACACTTCACCATCTCCCAATGTCCTCCTTCAGATGCCACATGCAGAATGTTGCCGCCGTCAACATCTAATAGGGATACATCAGCACCTTTACTTACAAGGAAGTCATACGCGTGTCTGTGCCCATAGAATGCAGTCAGCAGGAGAGGTGTTAACTTCTTTGACCCATATCTACAGTTCATGTTCACCAGGGTATGAGACACATCCACTTCACTCGTTTAAGATCACCCTCCTTGCAGGCATCATAAAGTTTGCTTTTTGGCGTCCTTTTCTTCATATATTGAGGGGTCACTCCAGGATAGGACTGCTTCCAATCTGAAGATATGTACGGACATCATGCACTGATCTACGGTTTCATACTTGTGTAAAGAATATGTAGATGAATTCATCAGTTGGTTCAAGAACGAAGACGCTTAACACACCTTTTCTAACACTTTTTATCAGCTGTAATTGCAATGGCAGATGTACGAGAACTACATCCGATGGTGTCAAACGTGGGTGACAGATGAAGTTAGATGAATTAGTTGTACAGTCTAAAAGCATGGTGGCCCTAGATCTTTCCAAGGTTGTACTTCAACAGTTTAAAACAGTTTTGCCGAAGTCAACATTTACAAAAATTAAACACTATCCTACAATCTCTCACTTTACAATTTCATATATATCATCTGAACAAATAAAATCAAGGTTCACAGTGTTTCTATATAAAAAAAAAACAATTAAAGAATATGTGAGAGAAATAACCATTTCGCTATATGGGACTAGTACCTTGGACGCGATATTGAAGAACAAGATAGAAATTCTGTCCCGTTTAGTTAAACTGACTTAACGACATTAGCTCCAGTATCAACTGTTGCACTATATCTTGCTCACGAACTGTCTTCTCAATGCGGTATGTAGACAGTACAAAATGCAGCTAATGTTTCGAAGAACAACATATATTCCTGAAAAGCAACTAATTGGGCTCCATCTAGCGAGACCTGGAAAGTCAGATATCGCACGAAATGTAAACCCCGGTAACCACATCCATAGAAAATGTCCTTTTTGGCTATTTATAGAAAAATAACAATCCATTAAAGATTGTCATTATCTTGTCAAAACGAATCACTTTTTCTTCAACTTTAGAAATGCTAACTATCCACTAATATTCCAATTCATACAGAAGATGTTGATATGGGGAACAGTGAAAGTGATTGAGGTAAATAAACCAGTTATATAAAGATAAAAAAGAAGAACAAAACAATTTGAAACAATCTTAAGCTCTCACCACCACGAACATACACCAAGGCACATTTAGAGACGGGCCGTGCCAACGGGCACCATCTAGTTTATATCCAGTGCGAGGGAACATTTTAAGGGAGTACCAAACCTAAGGCACCGAGAGCAAAGGGGTCTGTACAACTTAGTATTTGGGATGCACGTGTCACAGCTTATGAGGTCAGCTACCTTTTCCCTGACTCATTACTGCTAAGGGGGGCCCAGAATTCGATGATGTAAATGTTGTCAGTGGATTTATCAAAAAAGACATTGTCAGGTTTGTTGGCCTGGATAAATATGAGGCTGAATACGAGCCTGTTCCATATAAGTTCCAAATTAGTATTTTCCATGACGTCCTCTACATATTCTCGGACGTCACGTGCATGAAACTGTAAATAACAAGAATGGATAAAAACAGTTAAACAAGAATTGAATAACGCCACCATGTTGTTTAACAAGCACTTATATCATCATTGGTTTATTCATAAACGTATGCAACGTCAAATGTGTTGTCGTCACGATATGGCTGAACAATTGCTGATGCGACGTTAAATACTAACTCACTCGCTCATAAACGTAGGCTTTGTCATTGTATCAGATGATGCCAATCACTGAATTGTCTGGACCAGAAGTGACTGCTTAGAGACCGCCGTCACACAACTGAAATATCGCTGAGTTCAACATTAAACAAACAAAGAAACCCATGCCCATAAAAAATGTACAAGCGTACAATTGCTTTACCAAACATTTCTCTCACAATGTTCCGGCTTTCGTTTTATTACACGTTACAGAGTTCGTAATTCAGGATTTACGACATACCTCTGCCCCACAAAGATCACTTTCCTTGCAGGCATCAAGATATTTGCTTTTCAATGTCGCATAATATTTACATTTATATAAATAAATTTGCAGTTACCTTTGACACAAACAGCCTGTCCATTTCGAGTCTCCAAACATCGAAATTTCGGGAGGCAGTGCTTGGATCCACATTGGCCAGTTGAGACCTGAGGACAAACGAGAACAGAGCCACGTGAGGATTTGAAGCATTAAAGAACTATTCTCAAAGGTCCAATCTCTAAAAATCGTATTATGCTGGAAGCCAAACACCCATTATTCGATTACTATTCAAGACAGCGCACGTATTTATGTGTACAGACCAAATGCTATCATATTTTTGTGTTTTTTTAATCTTTCACAAACATACCTTGTAGTTTTAACTCGATTTAACTGTTATATAAACTAATATCACGTGATCGAAACACGTTATTGACATGGTTTGCTGTGAACAACATGACACGAAATATGACTTACACTGGAATAATTTCTAGGAATAATGATGTATCCTTCTTCCTTTTTAATCCTCTTTGATTCGTCACTTGATAAACGACACACTAAAGCTTTAATAATGTATTGAAAACTTAAACACTGGCCATTCTCAATACATTTCAGTTCACACAATTTGATGCCAATGTGTTATATTGTATCAGTGAAGTGAGTCTGTCTCTTCTCTGACCGAGATCCAAAACAAAATACAATCATAGCGCCGAAGCAGTGGAGCAGGATTGCAAAATGATACCGGCGAAACATATTAAAACGTTGACGAAGTCCTAGAGTAACGATAATGCACTTCTATATGACATCTGAGAATGACATTCACAGTGTGATGAGGACTGACAGCCAACAGACGCCAGTGTGATCACTCGTCGAGAACAAGCTGAAGTAAACGCCCTTCACGTTGCATTAAGTAGCTCTATCTGTGCCGTCACGTGACATTTCATTATTTATATTTCCAAGTAGAAGATGGCCGAGTTGATGCGTCCCTCGAGCTACATCCACTTGCTCTTCTCATCTTGAAAAAAGACGGCAGGATGAAATTGTGTTTATTTTTTTCATTTCCTACATTTATCCAGCAGGCAGTTATATTTTAAGTACCACTGTTATGGCACAGGTTCGATATTACATTATGGTAAAACACCTCGATACAAGACTTTCTGGTGTGACATTGGTGACATGAGCACTTGTTATGATTGGAGAAGAGAGGTGCTTTAAGGCACGTGTGTATATGTACAGTAGATACTCCATGTTAAGATTGGAGAGGAGAGGTGTTTTAACGCACGTGTGTATATGTACATTAGAAACGCCATGTACTGATAATTGACTTTGTATTTACTTTATATGTTACTCATTTCAAATAATTAATGGCTTAACAGTTTCGTATAGCAATACGAAATAATCGCCTGTTTTTTTCAGGTGGCATATTTCTTGGTCCTATACCTCATTAGCATCCATAGTTGGAAACCTATGTTCTGTCGGCCAAACGTTGGACACATGCTTCATCAGCATCTCAATGATATTGAAATTGAAATTCCATTTAGTAGGAGGCGGTTCATGACATTTTGGGGCCGCATGTAAATAAGTGTTTTGTTATTGCAAGCTGTGGAGAAGCTATCTGTGATCACATGACCTAGATGTTGGTAGAAGATTCTAGGCAGTTACACGTTCTGAGATTTATATCGTACCTGCCAATCCACGTTATGCAACATGTTTCTCTAACTGGACAAGTAGGATGGAATGATTTGAAAAAGAGATTTTTGGAAATTCCTAAACTTTGAAATAATGTTAAACATTAAAGACTTGCAATAGTATATCATCTGAAGTGTATAGGAGTAGAGTACCAAAGATATGATCGGGATAAATTAAGGTAGTTTTGACTACTTTTGCAGGCCCTACTCAGTGATGAAGACATTAACCTTCGAGGAGTTATCTGTCCTCATGCCATAAACAGCTTTATCACAGTGCAAGACAGGTCTTTCAGAAACCTAAAGTGATTTGATCAGGACCACCTGCTAGACGACCTGTTGTGTTAATTGCTTTCGTAAAATCAAAATGTTCCCCTACTTTACAACAACATACATCAGAAGAACCAAAGATATACATATCCACCAATAGTTACAAATCAATAGTTTATAATATGAAATGTGTGTGTATTATACTTGTGTATGATATAGATTTAGTTTAAGTGAGTGAGTGAGTTATTATTTAACGTCACATCGGCAATATTTCAGCCATATCGTGACGAGAACATTCGATATTAGAATGAAATATATGTATATTATAAAAAACCTGCCGACGAAGGGCAGTAAAACAACTAGAATATCACAGATATCAATATAAAACTAGCGAAAAAAGCTAAAATATTCCAATTAAAGAAGACAATACAATGTAAAAATGGGCTATAGATCGCCAACACCAGAAGGTAGATCACCAAACTAGGGACCATGGGGACTTACAGTACCTTGGCTACCTGCATGGACCCTAGTTGGATTTACACCATCCCTTCAGCTGCTGGCGATTGTAAGGAATGTTAGCTACAATTAAAATTACAAGAATGCTACGATTAAAAACCTGGTATTCTTAAATTGACTTTGAATGTTTTGGGACTTACGTACCCCCTCAGGAGGACAATAATTTTACGCTACGTCAACCCCCTTTGAGGGTACAGCCACTAACAATCTAAGTTGCTAATCTAAACTACCAATAATAAAATATATACCTATTTACAAATCAGTCAACAAATCTAATTTTTTAAAAATGCAAGAATTAAATGAGAGCTGACATTTGTAAAAAGATCCTTCAGTGTTTTGGATGTGAAATAGATATCCCTTGTGATGGAGTACTCAACACAGTCAAGCAAGACATGCTTGACCGTGATTCGTTCATCACAAGGGATACAAAACGGAGGATCCTCACCTTTTAATAGGTACTCATGCGTATATCTTGTGTGGCCAATACGACATCGTCGTATGATGACCTCTTCAAATCTGGACTGACAACCCAAGTAAGTGTAACCGATATAGGGTTTTATTGCATGTAATTTATTAATACCTACTTGGGTGTCCCACTTCTTTTGCATCAGATCACGGATGTAAGATCTAATGCAAGCTTTATAATCAGAGTATGGGAGCAGAAGTGGTGTCACAGATTTGTTGAGGGCTGCCTTAGCAGCAATATCAGCCATCATGTTCCCAGAAATGCCAACGTGGCTGGGTAACCAACAAAAGACGATGTCGCACTGGCCAGTAGCAAGCTCATTATACAATTCAATAATTTCTAATAAAAGTGGATGTTTGCAAGAAAGATTTTTAATAGCCTGAAGACACGAAAGAGAATCTGAAAAGATGATATATTGTTTATATTTACGGTGTTTATTAATATATTTAAGAGCTGTTAGTATTGCGTTTGCTTCTGCTGTGAAAATTGAACTGTCATTGGGTAGTCTGGAAGATATTGTTTTGGACCCAATGACAGTGGCACAAGCAACCGCGCCACCATCCTTGGATCCATCTGTATATAAGGATTTATAGGTATTATATTTATTTTTTTAATTGACTAAATTCTTGTTTATACTGTAAATCATTAGTTTCGGATTTTTTAAATGTGGTTAATGTTAAGTCAACGTCTGGCCTCACCAATTGCCAAGGAGGAGAAGAAAGAAGACGAAAAGGAGATATATTCTCCAGCTTAATGCCGGCAGCAGAAAGGAATGGTTTAATTCTGTGCCCCAGAGGCGGAACAAGTGAAGGCTTTTTTGTTATATAAATCCTCATAAAGAGGAGTGAAGATGCAGTGAAACGCAGGATTAGACTCGTTAGAATATAGCTTCGTAATATACTGTAATGACAATTTTATACGGCGTTGGGTAAGAGAAGGCTCATCTGCCTCGACGTAGAGACTGTCAACAGGAGATGTTCTGAAGGACCCAAGACAAAGTCTCAGACCTTGATGGTGGACTGAATCTAAGAGTTTTAGGTTGCTTTTGCAGGCTCCACCATAAACGATGGAGCCATAATCAAGCTTCGAGCGGACAAGTGATCTGTAAAGGTGTAGGAGCGTAGCATGATCCCTTCCCCACCTTGAATTAGACACGACTTTCAATAAATCAAGTGCCTTCAGGCATTTAGTTTTGAGAGATTTGATATGCGGAAGAAAAGTTAAATGGGAGTCGAAAATGAGACCTAAGAACTTGGCGTCTTTTACAGCCTTGATGGGAGTGCCATTTAAAAACAGTTCTGGGTCTTTATGTGGTTTATATTTACGGCAGAAGTGTATGCAATTAGTTTTAGATTTAGAAAATTTAAAGCCGTTTTCAAGACACCATTTATGTATTTTATTTAAACACAACTGTAGTTGCCGTTCAATAGTATGCATATTCTTACCGCGACAAGAAATATTAAAATCATCCACAAAAAGTGATCCATCAATGGAATCGTTTAAAACCTTGGATAAACTGTTTATCTTAATGCTAAACAATGTGACAGACAAAATACTGCCTTGCGGGACACCCTGATCCTGATTGTAATGGTCAGACAGGGTTGAACCCACTCGGACTTGAAATTGCCTGTCATTTAAAAAGTTGGATATAAAGTGAGGCAAACGGCCTCGTAATCCAAAGTCATGTAAATCTTTTAAAATCCCATGTTTCCATGTTGTGTCGTATGCTTTTTCTAAATCGAAAAAGATCGACACTGCATGCTGTTTATTAATTATGGCATTTTTCACAAAAGATTCTAAGCGCACTAAATGATCGATGGTACTACGGTTTTTACGGAAACCACATTGTATATTAGTTATAAGGTTATTGGTTTCCAAGTACCAAACAAGTCGATTATTTATCATGCGTTCCATGGTCTTGCAAACACAGCTAGTTAATGAAATTGGCCTATAATTGGAAGGATCAGTATGATCACGTCCAGGTTTAGGGATGGGCACAATTATAGCATCGCGCCACGACGAAGGAAATTGTCCAGATGTCCAAATGACATCAAAAATAGATAAGAGCGTCTCTAAACATGATTCAGGTAAATGTTTCAGGAGTTGATAATGTATACCATCAGCTCCTGAAGCAGTATCGTGAGCTTGGTCAAGAGCAGTATGAAGCTCATCTATCGAAAAGGTTTCATTGTAGTCTTCCCCATTGTCTGAATTGAAATTAATAGATTTCTTTTCCTGCTGTCTTTGATATTTCTGGAATTCAGGTACATAGTTAGATGAGGAAGAATGTTTGGCCAAAGTTTCTCCAAGTTTATTTGCTATGTCAGATTTATCAGTTAATAATTCATCTCCATTTTTTATATGCTTAATGCTAGATTTAGAGCCCTTACCTTTTATTTTCTGAATCATGTTCCACACCTTTGATATTGGCGTGCGCGAATTGATGTTTGAGACATAGTTTCGCCAAGATTGGCGTTTATTTTGTTTAAAAGTACGCCGTGCTTTGGCGTTTAAAATTCTAAATTTGTTTAAATTGTGGACCATAGGATGGCGACGGAAATAATGTTCAGCTTTCTTCCGTGCCTTGCGAGCTTGTTTACATTCAGCGTTAAACCATGGTTTACGTACATGAGGAACTGCAGAGGATTTGGGGATACACTTGTCAGCTATGTGTCTGAGCTCATCTGAAAAACATTTGATGGCATCAGGAAGATCATGAAAAAGTTCAGGTTTGAGTTTGTCAGCACAGAAAGTTTCATATAAAGGCCAGTTAGCCTTCTTAAAGTTCCATCTTGATGATGGAGGAACATCAGATGGATTCACGGGTTTGAGAATTGTTGGGAAATGGTCACTTCCACACAGGTCGTCGTGGACTGACCACTCAAATTCATTCAATAAGTCTGAGTCTGTAATTGATAAATCAAGGGCTGAATAAGTTCCTGTGCCAGGATGTAAATATGTGCTCGAATCATCATTATATATGCATACATCATTATCTGAACAAAAGTCTTCTAATAGTTTACCTTTGGCATTAGTTGTTGTACCACCCCAGAGCGGGTTGTGGCCATTTAAATCTCCCATAATGATACAAGGTTTTGGGAGTTGGTCATATAAATTTTGAAGGTCAGACTTCCGAAGAGTTGAAGACGGTGAAATGTACAATGAGCATAATGTGAACGCAACATGTAACGTCAGTCGTACTGCAACCGCTTGGAGACCAGTATTAAGTATAACAGGGCTGTGGATAACACTTTGTTTGATAAGGATCGAAGATCCTCCAGTGGCCCGATCACCTGGAGGTGAAAAGGAGTGGTATGCATTGAAATTACGTAATTCAAATGTATCCGTCTGTTTTAAATATGTCTCCTGGAGACAAATGGCTGATGGTGTGAAGTCCTGGACTAAGAGCTGCAAATCATTGAAATTATTCCTTAGCCCTCTGCAGTTCCACTGTACAAGATTATTAGAAGACATTATCTTTTGGGGGGATTTATTGGGGATCTACCCCGCACTTGTTTGGAGGGCGACAAGCTATGTGCCCTAGAATGGACGTTTTCAGATACGTCCATGGCCTCAAGAGATCCATATTTGTTGTATAATTGAATTTTGTTTTGCGACCCTTTTGGGGCTCTGCCACTCAGCTTTTTTAGAAAAATCTGGCTTGTTACTTTTGGGTTTAGTGATATCTTGTTGAGACTTCGCTGACGACTGAGAAGATGGTTCATGATCACGGGAGGACGTCTCTGACTGGGTTAGAGATGGATCAGGAGGTGAGTTTCCAGTTTGTGTAGTTGTAGCAGTCGAGAAAGGTTTAGGAGATTCAGTATTTACCCAAGTTAAGTTTGTCTGACAACTTGTAGACACTTTAGTTACCCTAGATGGTACCTCAGCCGTTGGTCTGGCAATAGAAGCATAACTTTCTGTTTGTTCTGAGCTGTGGACTAGCTTCTTGGTATCCGCAAAACTAATGTTTTGCGTGAATTTTATTCTATTAATTGCCATTTGGTCTTTCCATACGGGGCAGTCCTTAGAGTAAGATGGGTGATTCCCTGCACAGTTGGTGCACTTTTTGACATTACTGACACAATCTTCAGTTGTGTGTGTCTTTTCACTACAGTGAGCACACACAACAGACAATGTGCAAGTATTCACGCCGTGGCCAAACTTTTGACACTTGAAACACCTAAGAGGGTTTGGAATATATGTCTCAACATTGAGGTTACAATAACCTGCCTTCAGTGATTTTGGAGCATTTGGTAGAGAAAAGGAAAACAGATAGGTGTTGGTTTTAATGGTTGTATCATTTTACGTGTTGAGAAACGTTTGACATACAGTACACCCTGATCCTTCATCTCGAGACGATATCAAGTTCCGACATGTCAGCCAGCAATCTATCGGTCTCTCACGATTCCCTTGCTTGTGTTAAGTGTTTTGTGGGCCGTGACGGTAACCGGAATGCCAACAAAAGTGTCAGTGTTCAACAGGTTGGTAGACTGTGCTTTTTTGCTGCACTCTATCAACAGCGCACCAGAACGTAGTCTTTTAATGTTCTTTATCTCGCCAGCAATGCCTTGAATACCCTTAGACACAGCAAAAGGATTTAATTTTAAGGGTGTGCTATCTTTCGTGTCAATGACAACAAAACGGGGCCAGTAATCAATTTGTTTGGACAGTCTGAGGTCGTTATCATCAGGATCAATTTCCAGAGGACGTTTGCTTTTTTTTTTTGTTGGGGTTTCATAAGCCATGGTAAGTGTTTAGATTTCATCATCCGAGCTCCCCACCCACCACGGAGTATCACAAAGGACAATGCTAAAAACAAGCGGGTCTCCGACTTGCAGCACCAAGGATACTCGGATGATATACTCAAGCAGAAAAACCAAAAAGTAATTTTTCCACCAGATTGGCCCATGAGCCACCGCCTTCTGGCACCAGCATCTAGGCAAATTTTCACAAATTTGAAAATCCCTACATCACATAGTAGATATACAAAAACAAAACATGTCAATATTGTTACCAAATAAAACAGTGCCAAATAATATTGGAGCAATGAAATTTAGTGCTCAGGGCTCGGCATGACCAGCCGATTGGTTGAACCGGGCCAATTCAACCACCCGTCTAGGTGAAGTCAGGGCCGAAGTGGTGTGTTGGGCAAAGGAACACTGTTCCTGGAACCAGTGCCCTCAACCACCAGAATCCCTTCCTCCACCGACACAGGGGCGCAACCCACGGCAAACAGGTTGGTGGACCTAATATCCCCCCGGGTCCACAACGGGGGGTTTGAAAGGCGCTTAGCATTACCCAGCACCCACCACGAGGAGGTGGCCTTTCATGGGTGCCGATTTAGTTTAAGAACTTTGTCACGTACAGAGAGCGGATAAGATACACGCAGTTTGAGTTGTTCAAAGGTTATTCTGATTTGGCTTGGTAGTTTTAATTTTTTAAAGAAAACGTAAGTAGCAATTCCTACAAACAGATGCGCAAAATCTACACAATGACTGAAACTGTAAAAGGCAGTAATGAATGAAACGTTAATCACTAGATCTCTTGTCAAAGAAATGTTTAACAATAATGACGTATGACGTAAGCTTTATGTTGTTTTATGTGCCCCTATGTGTGGTGGGTATTTTTGCATCATTGTTTTTATATGGAAGATGGATGCATATAAAATTAACTTCAAACCGATTAAGTACAAAACAAGGCATTTATTCACAATCATGTTTTTTTATCCACAACAGAAACAAACCTCTGATCTGTCTTGACGTTTGGCTTCGTAATTAGCTGTGTTATGTACCAGAGATTAAAGTGAATTCTTCCTGATTTCAGTCAATTTATCATCATTTGTTTGTTTACATGATACATTTATGTGCTCTCTACCACATTAATGTATAATGTCATGTTATGAATGATAACATATTATTTTGAGTGTTTAGATATCAAGAAAAGGTGTTAAACTTTGGTTGATAACAAAATCATTAACAATGTTAAACTTCAAGATGGGACAAAATACATTGATAACTAATGGTTCTGTGAAACCATTAATCTAAAATAGTCAAGCAACACAAGCTCTTTTAGCATTTACTTCAATAAGCCCATCACAGTTCCATACTTTTTTTATTACTCAATGTGGCTACCCCGAGCATGTGACTGAAGTAGTTTATTTATTGCCATATTCCCCTTCTGCTTTGCTATCATTGCTGGTGTATGGCCAAATCCATTCCTCGTTTGAATGTCTACAACGTTTAGTAGTAAGATATGCTTCACCATTCTCGTGTGTCCCTCGGTGCAGGCAGTATGAAGGACGTTGTTGTCATCTTTAGTCACAAGGGAAACATCAGCTCCTTCATTGACAAGCAGATCAAAAACATCTCTATATCTCCCGTGTGCTGCCACCATCAATGGTGTCCCCCCTCTCCCATCTCTGCTATTGATGTCAACAATATTTTGCGAAAGGATATACCTCACCATGCCCACATGTCCACCCTGAGCAGCAGTATAAAGAATATTGCGACCGTCACCATTTACGAGGGACACATCAGCTCCTTCATTGACAAGAAGATCAAACACCTCTCTATGTCCGGCGTATGCTGACACCATCAATGCTGTCTTCCTTTTCTTATCTCTGCTGTTGATCTCAACGATATGTTGCGAAAGGATATACTTCACCATGTCCACATGTCCACCCGCAACAGCGCTATAAAGAATATTGCGACCGTCATTAGTTTCGATGGAAACATCAGCTCCTTTATTTACAAGGAGGTTGTACACGTCTCTATGTCCAAAATATACAGCTCGCATCACCGGTGTCCTTCCCCTTTCGTCTCTGCTGTTGATGTCAACAATATTTTGTGAAAGGACACACTTCACCACCTCCTCATGTCCACCTTCAGATTCCACATGCAGAATGTTGCTACCGTCAACACCTACCAGGGATACATCAGCACCTTTACTTACAAGGAAGTCATACACTTGTCTGTGCCCATAGAATGCAGTCAGCAGGAGAGGCGTCGCTTTCATTTTCCCACATCTACAGTTCATGTTCACCCGAGTATGAGACAAGATCCACTTCACTTTTTTAAGATCACCCTCCTTGCAGGCATCATAAAGTTTGCTTTTTAGTGTCTTTCTTTTCATATATTGAAGAGCCACTCCAGGGAAGGACTGCTTCCAATCTGAAGATATGTACGGAAATAATGCACTGACATCGGTGCGTTAAAACATACATGACATAATGTAGTTTAGAATGGATTTAGCTGTAAAAATGGTAGATTTACGTGTACTGAAGCAAATGGTGTCAACTTTCCATTGGTGTGTTGGAACTGATATGACATACATCTTTCCAAGATTGTACTTCAAAAGTTAAAAGTAGTTTTGCCAAAGCCATCGATTACCAAAATTAAACATTACCCTACAATCTCCCATTTTACCATTTCATATATATCGTCTTAACAAACAAAATTAAGGTTCACAGTATTTCTATAATAGCACTTAAACATATGTGAGAGAAATAACCATTTCGCTAAATGAGAGTAGTACCTTGGGCATGATATTAAAGAACATGATAGAAGAGATTCCATCCCGTTTAGTTGCAGGAACCTGACAACAGTTCCAGTATCAAAAGCTGCATCATATCTTGCCAGCGAACTGTCTTCTCATTAAGGTTCGTAGACAGCCTGATATCGCACAAAATGAAAAGCTCTGTAACAATATCTATGGAAAATGTGGTATGTTTTGTGGCTATTTATAGAAAAATAACAAACCTTTTCATTATCTTGTCAAAACGAATCACCTTCAACTTTAGAAATACTAACTAGTCACTAGTATTCCAATTCATACAGAAGGCCACCAAATTATATACGTTAACAAAGTACTCCTTTTGTAACAGAGATTACTTCAATAAGCTTTGGTCTGTAGTGCTTTATTCTCTTCAATATTTTGTCATGCAAAACCGTTAAATTGCTTAAGATAAACAAGCCAAATATATAAATAACAAACCAAACCAGACAAAAGCAAAACAATCTGAAGTAATTTTACGCTCTCAACATCACGAAAATCATTCAAGGTACATTTAGAGGCATGCCTTTTCAACGAGTACTATATCCCAAAAAGGTAAAACAGGCTGAGGGAGTACCAGATCTAATGCACCGAAAACAACGGGCGCTGTACAACTTAGTTAAATGGGAGTACGACCTTGGACACGATTTTAAAGAATAAGTTAGAGTATCAATTGTATTCTGTGTACTTGCACGAACGTGATCTAACCACAATACCGTACGTAGAAAGTTAAATATGCATCTACTGTCCCAGGGAAATAGAAGATGATTTGCATATATTCTGGAAATGTGGATCTAAGTGTGCTCCATCTGGTGAGAACTGGAAAGTTGGATGTCGCACAAAATGCAAAGCCCACTTACAATATCCGTGGAAAATGTTTCTTTTGTCTATTTATCGGAAAATAACAATCCTTTAAACCTTGACATTATCTTGTCAAAACGAATCATTTTCAACTGTAGAAATACTAATTAGACACTAGCATTAAAGTTCATACAGAAGAAACTGTTATGCAAAACTGTGATAGTGCTTAGGATAAATAAACCAATTATAAAAAACCCTACAAAACCAAAACAGTTGGAAACAATCTTAAGCTCTCACTATCACGATCATCATTGATGGAATATTAAGAGGCATGCCTTTTCAAATAGCACCATCTAGTTTATATCCAGTGCGAATGAACGGGTTAATGGAGTACCAAAGCTTACGCACCGAGAGCAATGCGGGTTATACAAATTAATATTTGGAAAGCAAAGACATTGTCATCAAGACATTGTCAGGTTTGTTGGCCTGGATAAATACGAGGCTGAATACGAGCCTCTTCCATATAAGTTGGAAATTATAAATTTCCGTGATGCCCTCTACATATTATCGGGCGTCCCATGCATGAAACCCTAAACAACAATCACGAGGAAAGACAGTTATACTAGGTTTGAAGGAGTACGTGTATCATCATTGTTTGATTCATAAACGTATGCTTTGTAGTTGTATCAGATGATGCCAATCATTGAATTGTCTGGTCCTGACGCGATTGCTTAGAGACAGCTGAAATATCGCTGAGTTCAACGTTAAACAAACTAAGAAACCCATGTTCTTAAAAATTGTTGGACTTGTACAACCATACAATTGCTTTACCAAAGGTTTCTTAAAGATGTGCAAAGTATGTTCCTGCTCTCGTTTTACCACACATATTACAAAAGTCATAATTTAGGATTTACAACATACCTCTGCCTCACAAAGATCACCTTCCTTGCAGGCATCAAGAAATTGGCTTTTCAATGTAACATAATATTTACATATATTTAAAAAATGCCGTTGCCTTTGACTCAAACAGCCTGTCTATTTCGAGTCTCCAAACATCGAAATTTCGGGAGACAGGTCTTGGATCCACATTGGCCAGGTGAGACCTGAGGACAAACGAGAACAGAGCTACGTGAACCTAATTGAACACTGCGTTTCCCGCTCTATCTGTGCCGTCACTTGACATTTCATGGTATAAATTTCCTCACAAGGTATAAATATTTCAAAGCTTTATCCATGAAGGACCTTTTTAACAATTTTCTCATTTAATCATTGCATTTTTAAAAGAAAAAAATTCAATAGAGAATTTTGATTTTGTATTGTAGTTAATAAATGTATGTTAATTTGTTAGAATGGATAAATAACTGTCGACTGTCAGTGGACAAAAACTCAAGGGCGAAAGAAACGTCACCAAAATGATTTTTTTATCTTTTTTCGTACACTAAGTGATTATTCATATCTGTAGTTCACACTTTCATCATTCAGAATGTTGTAAATCCCTTTATTTTCCAATTATGATTGTTAAATTTCCAAAATCTGAGTTTGTTGTTTTACGACATGTTCAAAAAGCGAGGTGACGTTTCTTTCGCCCGTGAGTTTACCTTAAATGGGGGTTGAAGTACATGTAGCGTAAAACGATTGTCCCACAGAGAGGGTATGTAAGTCTAATTTCATTAAAAGTATATTTTCATCCTTAATATTTTAATTGCAAAATATGTGTCTTTCATGTTTGGCGAAATTTGACTACAATCGCCAACGGTTGGAGGGATGCTGTAAATCCAGATGGGGTCTATGCATGTAGTAAAGTGACTGTTATTCCCAATTGTACCCAGTATTGTGATCTACATGTACCTTTAGTTATTGGTGATGAACAGATTGTTTTTATATTTTATTGTCCCAAATAGGTATATGGTTTTTAAGCTAAATACTGGGTTTAATAGAGTGATATTCTAGTTATTTTACTGTCCTTTGTCAACAGATTTTATGCTCTAATATTAACCTATTATGTTTTAGTCACGATATGGCTGAAATATTGCCGATGTGACTATACATTTTTACTCATTTACTCACACCCAAGTAGAAGATGACCGAGTTCATACGACCCTCGAGCTACGTCAACTTGCTATTCCATTCTTGAAATAAGACGGCTGGACGAAATTCTTGAAACATTAATTGAACAAGTTAAGATTTGAATCATACTCTTTGAAGTCATGCTCAAAGGAGCACGTTAGACTGTACGTCGAAAGGTGAGTTAGGGCTGTTATTGCCTGATCTTTATAGATCTAAGTATGAAACGTATGCGGTGTCTCACCTGTCTCCTTTACGTGAAGTCCGGGTGAGTTAAGGAGCGCGAAGTAAGTGGGTATTTGGTGGTTATTACAAGATATCAGACCTTCAGTATACCTGAAGCTTAAGTTGAACAAATGATTTTATTTATATTTTACTAGAACAGAACTCACTGCACTCTGAAATGCAAGCAATTTCACAGAGTGTTTGTGAATCAACATGGCATTAATTCCTCTTGTCTCAAACGCTTTCTGTGAATGCAAAGAAAGTACTTCCCTGGCAGTATTAAGGACTGTGATCAATCTTAGAGACAGAGATTTGGTAATACATTGTTTGGAACCAACAATGTGCCTCTCTCTTTATACGAATTGTTTTTAAAACTCTGGCTAGCTATTCTCGAAACGCTCGTAGCCCTAGGAACTTCTTAAGCCCATTCTGAACACATTGGCTACTATCAAAGTTAAGAATTCTTAGGGCTACGAACGTTTCGAGAATAAGGGCCTAGGGCCCCGTTTCACAAAGCTCTCGTAAGTCTAAGATCTCGTAACATTTCTCGTAGCATTCGTACCTCCTATAATGTAACATAGGAGGTACGAATGCTGCGAGAAAAGTTACGAGATCTTAGGCTTACGAGAGCTTTGTGAAACGGCGCCCTGGAGGCTAATACATGAGAGGAATGGATGGTCAACATGTATTAGAGTCATTTAATAGCACTAGTGAGTCTTTTGGGTAGCTTTCTTCTTCACATAACAGATTGTCTTCACATGAGGCATATTTATCTGTCATTTACACCAAGGTCTTTGATTAAATAATTGAAATAGTGGTGATTACATATAATGTTATGTTAGTTGACACTTTGCTATCATAAACAACTACAAATTCTTCATGTAGGGCAACCAGACACTAGATGACATCTGGCTTGGGACAGAAAGGTTTCCAATTTTTCATTGTGTACATTCTACCAATAACAACATCAAGCAGTGATTTAACACATTGTGAAAGAGATTCTACAGGTTGCTGTTCTCTTTCTACCCAAGCATGGCCCTATGCCTCATTGGTATCCATAGTTGGAAACCCAAGTTCTGTCGGCCCAACGTTGTACATATGCTTCAACAGCATCTCAATGATATTAAAATTGAAATCCCAATTAGCAGGAGGCAGTTCATGACATTTTGGGGCCTCATGTAAATAAATTTTTTGTTATTGCAAGCTGTGGAGAAGCATCTCAATGATATTGATATATGAATGATTTGAAAAAGAAATAGTTGATAATTCCTAAACTTTGAAATATTGTTCAACATAAAAGACTAGGAATATTTTATCGTCTAAATTGTATGGGAGTAGAGTACCAAAGTTATTATCGGGATGAATTAAAGTAG